GGTGATAGTTCAATTTAATTTGATAAACACTAGATGTGGTTATGAATCTTCTGTCATCGAAATCTGTAATTTCATTGAATTTTTTGTTAATATTAGAGCTGAATACAATGTTTGTATTTGCTCCATGATTTATGGCAATCATCAAATTTCTCTTCTTATTTGTTCCACGATTTATTTTTCTAATCCTGAAGCATTCCTAATTCTTTTTGTCAATAAGTTTTGTTATGAAATTTATGATCTTGGGTCCAACTTTGAATCGCTTTGCATACCTGCTATTAGTCTTTCACGGTCTCTTTTTTAAGAAACTTTATCGAAACTTTCCATTATTATCCTTAAAGTTTTTTCCTTCTATCTGTGCGGGTTCTAATTTTCTCAGTGAGACATAGGATTTTTTAGGATTAGGTATATTCTTTTAAAGTGCTTTTGGACTAATAATGTAGGGTTTTTCTCTACAAACTAGGGGATCTTGGATAAACCATCTCTATCCTTCCAATAAGTAGAAGACCAGTAAGGTACTTTTGCATGATGGTTTTAGTTTGTCTTTGGTTCAGAGCTTTTTATGTATTATCGTTATTAATTGTTCTTTATCATACTACTTGAAAAGATCAATGGTTGGAATGGAAGATGTTGTACTTTGAACGGGCATCAAGTTAAAGAATTCTGCTGATTGAATTCGAATCTTTAGTTTTGTCTAACTATATGGCTCAAGATGGTTTAATGATGCTCGAGGTTGAAGGATATGGTTGGCGGCTATGTAATACAACTCATTTTGCACTCAAGTTTATGATAGAATAGGGATAACGGATCAATGTCTTCATGAAACGTTTTCTTAAAGCAGGTCAATCTGACAAAAAAGTTAGAGCTCCTGTCTCAAAAGTCCTTTTCAACATATTTATTATATGCATTTGCTCAATTCATTGATCTGGAATACTGATCATTTAGCCCTCTTTTTTTCCTATTTATGGATCCTTCATACATAAGAGCTTGGTGATATAAATGGTTGCTTGACGACATGCAAATGCATACTTCTTTTGGATATTTTGCATCAGAGGATGCAATTGTTAGGAGAGTTTTATTGAAGGCAGATGTTATTCAGCTCGGCGTAGTTTTTCTTGAACAAATTCTCAGGCGAAAATCATTAACTTTGGTCATTTTTATATTTACTTTCAATCTCCCTTATTCTCTTGAGGAACTAGGGAATAATAATGTACTTTTAGATGAAACTTATGTTATAACTCTCTAACTCTACCTATTTTGTATTTTTTTTGTTATTACCTTTTAGTCATATGATAATATTAATATATGAGATTTTTTTCAAAGTGTTTTATTGTATTGTTATAACTTAGTACTAGGTTTTGGACCCGTCTATTCACACGAGTTTGGGCTTAAGTCCCTTAATTGTTTTGAGTTATAAAAACATTAATGGTCCTTTTTAAGACATAACTGAAGCATAAAGTAGTAGATGATCCAAAAAAATGTATATTTATTTTTATATGTTTCTAAAATTATACGTTATAATTATGCCTAATGGTGCATCGTTTTTGTTAAATATTAAATATCCAATCCCGACTTAACTTTTTTTTTTAATTTTTTTGGGAGACAAATCATTGTTGTAGAATCTTTTAACTATAGGCAGGAACAAAGATTAGGGAAGAAATCTCGGAACATACCACTAATTTATCGAACAACTACATCACGTAAAATTTCTGAACATGCTGTTCAAGAAGATTTTAATCAGATATAAGAGCACTCATCATAAGATTGGAATATTTTGTTCCATCTTTTCAATTGTTCTCGTGAAATGCCTTGCAATTTGATATTGTCCGTTTCCATATAAAAAAAATATCTTTATTTTGATAAGACTTATAGGATTTTCTTTTGGAACGACTAAAACATTAAATGTTAAATAAAAAAAATCTAATACAAAGAGTCATAAAAAGAAAAGAAACTTAAAGGGAACTAATCTAATCTCCTTGATGTTGTTTGTTCTCGGAGTTTGCTATTTACAATCAATCGAAGAAGAAGATGGAACTAGCAACCCACAAACTATGTTTTACACTCTGCATTTGAAATTATTGTCTAGTTTGAATTTTCAGTTTTGGTGCAAATTGAATTAAAAGTGAAACTCCAAACTGGATAATAATTTTGGGACGGAGGGAGTAGAACTTAAACCTAAAATAAAGTTTGTTTGAGAAAAACATAAATCCAAAAGGCAAAGCAAATAGATTGAATTTGCTGGAATTTTGCGGAGTTTTCTACGATTTGATAAGGATGAGGAGATCGGTGGTGGGGTGTCAAGCCAATAAACAATTTAACCTACTTTCAAACTAGTAGCATAGAAAAGCAAGGTCGTTTCCTCAGGGAATGGTGGATTCGTTTCTTTCAAATAAGTAACCGAAAGGGGGGTTTTGAGTTTTTAAAACTAAAATGTAGTTAAAATAAAATTCAAATGATAGTTAAAAAAATAAAAGCAAATTTTGATTAAGAAAACGACTACATTAAGTACAAAGACCCAATTTTGATTCCTATGAAACAAGCCTTGTTTAATAAAAAATCAGATTACTTGTTCTTATAACATAACAAAATCATTTACCAAGTAAGTTAATTATATCAGCCCCTTTTAAAACAACAAACCTTGCTGCCTTATTGGTTGTTAACTATCATGAAATAATGAATGCTACCAGCTATTCATGAATCCAAAATCTTCATATCAATCATTCAAAAGAACAAGCAAATACTTACAAAGAATTGAGAAATGAAAAACATTTAGATCTCACAACTATTAAGAACAAAGGTTTCAATATTTTTCAACTGGAAAAGTAATTTAGTTACATATAATAAAGCCTTACTGAAACAAAACTATGGAGAATGGGAAAGAATAACGCCCAAAAGAGCTAGATTGGCGGCTTAGGGCCACTCCAGCCTCCTCTTCTTCTTCTCACGTCAACCCCCCTCTTCCAGAAAAGAATAAAATCAATTTATATACCAAAAAGTAGGTCAGCCGCCAGCAGCTTTCAGAATTTCGCAACTGCAAATTAACTTTTCCGAGATTTGTATATTGGTCCCTCAAGTTTGGTAAAATTATATTTTGATCCCAAAACTTTTTTACTTTTTCAGTTTAGTCCCTGATTTGGTTTGGCCAAACGGGAATGCAGCATCAATGCTGGAATTTCTTCTCTAAAGATCAATTTTGGACTGAGATTCATGTGCCCACACGAGAATGTGATGTCATTGCTCTCTTTTTGTGCTTCCTTGTCAAAATGCTCCAAAAATGTGTGTTTATGGAACATTTTTCTCCATCTCAGCTCCAATCACTCCTAAGAACCAAAAACATCAAAATACACAATATAAGTGCACAATCTAATCCAAAATGCTATACAAAATACCCATAAATAACATGAAACTTCAAGACCTATCAATCGGTTTGAGAGGGTTTCTTTTGGGGGGAAGGGTGAATTTATATAATGAAAGTGATTTTGAAATGGAGTTATTTTCGGAGGTTTTTTTATTTTTTTAATTTTATTTTAATTGGATGAAACGGTATCATAAGTTTTAATGAAATATGGATAGAGCAACTTTTGAGGTTTATAATAATTGGAATATTTGAGAAATGTGATTATAGTGATAGTGAGTTTGACAAGGAGGTTATTTTTGGAGGTTTTCTTTTCTTTTTTTTTAAATTTTATTTTAATTGGATGAAACGGTATCATAAATTTTAATGAAAATATAGATGGATCAACTTTTAAGGTTTATAATAATTAGAATATTTGGGAAACGTGGATTATAAAAGGGGATAATGATTCCCTTCTTTTTTCTTTTTTTTTTTTTTGAAAAAGATAGTACTTCCCTTTTCTGTTTTTTCTTTTTTTTTTTTGGGGATTAAGGTGGGAGAATTTTAAGCAAAGAGTGACACTTGAAATTTTAGGAGAAACATAGTTTTTATTATAATGGGAATTATTATTACTATTATCGATTTTGTTTAGTTGGATATTAGTTTGTTACAAGAAGGGTCGGCTGGGCATCACCCAGGCCAAGCATCTAGTATATATATTAATACAGGATGAAAATAGTTTACTTGGCATAAAATTGGAAGCTCATTTAACTTGGAAGTAAAAAAAAAAAAAAAATAGATTTAACCGTGATTAGTGAATCTTAACCGTAGAAGGTAACTTTATTTTAATTTTCTGCAATAAACTTTTAAAATAAGTAATCTGATAATAAAAACTCAAATAGAGTCCAAGTTATCCTATATTACTCCTATTCTAAATCTTATACAGGATTTTGTAAAATATTGTTCTATTTAAACTCCATCACAGTAAACAATTCAAAACAATCAGGTATGTCTCTTTGTTTCATTTTCCTTTAAATTTTTTTTTTCCTTTCTTAGAGTTTTTTTTTTTATTCAACGGGTTACGTTCATTTTTTTTTATTCAATACGAATTTATGTTCAATGTAGGCACTCTCAATGGAAGTGAAGTACCTGTGCATACTAATTACTTGAGAAGTTTTAGGTTATACTGTATTTTTGGGGAATTTTTAATATTTTTTTAGGATTAAGCGAGTATATATAAATGCATTTTTTTAACGCGATTACTCTTACATTTTTTGATAATCTTTATTTTGTACAAATAATGCAGAAAAAATTTTACAACCTGCTTAACGTGCGGGTCACTCACTAGTTATAAGTTATTTTGATTTCTTCAAGGTTTCTCCAAGTATGGGTTTTTAACATTGAACTACGGAAAGGAATTAACATTGGACTAAGTCAAAACAAGCTGGCGCTGCCAACTAATGCTTCATAAATTAAAACGTACACAGGAATTATATGGGCAATGCTTAAGGAAAATGACAAAGTCGTTGATTGGACATGTTTGTTTTGTCCTTTTCACTTTTTGGTCCTTGCACATCCAAAGTCCTCTTTCATTAAGTTTTGGACCTTATATATAGATTGCGACAATATTACCACTCACAATATTTTTAACGGCTCTCCAAAAAAGAAAAAAAAACAGAAGAAAAGGAAGGAAGAGTTCATAATTGGTAGTTTTTACTGCCAACAGTATCAATTGAAAAAAGTTATGTATTTTCACCATTCGTCAAGTCCAACATTTATTCAGTAAACTCACACTTTAAGGTCGTGTTTATATTTATATACAGCCCTGAAAAGACCACGTATATATTCAACAAAACCATAGAAAAGACATCCCGCAAGTAATTAACTATTGTAGCTAGCCTAATGGATAGAAGAAATGAAAGAAATTCAGCTTCAACAAAGAAGCGCAAAATTGATACTACTACAAAAAAGCTCCCTATCATTAATTTCACCGCCGAAAACCTAACGCCCGGCACAGAAAACTGGAGATCAACGTGCAAAGCCGTGAGGGAAGCCATGGAAGAGTTCAGCTCGTTCATCGGCGTTTACGACGACGACGGCGAACTAGGCCCCCGGCCGGAGCTTATGAGATCCGTCTTTTCATCGCTGAAGGAGTTGTTTGATCTCCCTGAGGAGACAAAATCGCTCAACACGTCGGAGCTGCCGGGTTTTGGTTATTTCGGAGGGATGTGGTGGCAACTCATCGAAACCGTTGGGATCGGAGATTCCACGAGTCTTGAATCCGTCCAAAGTTTTACAAAACTTATGTGGCCCTCCGGCAACAACAACTTTTGGTAAACATATCCATTTCTTTCTTCATAAAATATACTCCCTCTGTCCCAAAATTAATTATTGTCCAATTTGAAATTTTACTTTTAGTACAATTTGAACTACAAATGAAAACTCAAACTGGACAATAATTATGGGACGGAGGGAGTATCATGTGATCGTCTCTCATCTTAGATTAATTATTATTTCCTTTATTATATTGACTATTAAAATGAAGTGGAAAAATTTCGATATCAGTACGTTATTTTTTTCTAGCTTTCTTAGCTATTCAGGTCAATGAAAATATTCTAGAATTTTGATAGGAATATGCCATAATTAATTTCTGATTATATTAGGAAAAAAATTATACTACCAAACCAAGAATTATGCCAATTATTCTCCCCCAAGCTGTAGGTTGTAGCTTATCTTAATTAGATTAATCCATGTTGATATATACTTTAACCCTCAAAAAAGTCACAACTCACAAGTCACAATTAAGTCACAACTGTTGAATTGAGGGGACATTTTCATAAGGCATGGACATAGCACATGGACGATTTCTATATTTAATTTCTGCAGTTAAAAGATACCTCCTTTGTCCCAGTATATAGTTTATATTCCATTTTTATAAGTTAACATTGTGCAGTGATAAAGTAGATTTTTCTTTTTAACGGAAAAAATACATATTGCATTTAGTCTTATGATATTCGCAGTGAATGTCATACGCACGATCAATGTTTTTGTTTTTCTCTTTCTTCAGTTTGTAGTCTTTTTCCTATACTCCCTTTTCATCATTTTATAGTTTCAACACAAATTCACAACATTGAAAACAAAAGATAGAAGCGTTTTCGATTCTTTTCTTAGATTACTTAATTACAAAACAGTATATGGCAAATGAGATTTTTTTTAAATTCCATTTTCGTGACAACGTTATTACTCCTTGTGGGATACTGGTGATTTAATTATAAGTTTCTATAATTCTTTTATTTTCAATTTTTTTTTGTTTTTTTTTGTAATATTCAGCCAAACGATATATCAGTATGCAACAGAAGTATCAAAACTTGGAGAAATAGTGACCAGAATGATATTTGAGAGCTATGGTGTTGAAGACTACTGTGATTCTTTTCTAGATTCAACCTCGTATCTCCTTCGAGCCAACTCTTACAGGGTACCCCACGTGAATGAAACAAATGTGGGGGTTAGTCCCCATGGAGATTCAACTTTCATCACCGTTCTTAAACAAGATGAAGTGGGAGGACTGGAGGTGCAATATTCAAAAAATGGCACTTGGATTCCTGTTGATTTTCCACCATCCTCTTTTACCTTTCTTGCTGGCGACGCCTTATTAGTGAGTTCTTGACCCTTCTAGCTCGGTTTCTCTTTTGTTATTATTCCCTGGTTCCTAATTAATACAAAGTATCTACTGATTTCTGGGAAAAAAAATTGATCGAATCTGTTATGTTATTTTAGTTTTATTTTGGTTTAATGAGTAAAAGTAAGTGCTCAAATTTCATTAGCTCTGAACTATTCAAAATCAATTGGTCAGTCCATAAAAAAGGTCATCATAGGGTACTTTTCTTTGTGACATATTGTCTGATTGTGGTATTATCAAAAGTGCAAATTTATAGTCATTCATATCATTCAAATTCAATTATAGCCGCAATCTTCAAAGTAACTAATTGTAAGCAGTGATTTTGTAAACTTTTTTGTTTAATTATTGAAAGAGAAAGCTTTCATTTAATGACGGACGAGACGTAGCAGCAATCACCATGCATGTACTGACTACTTGTACTATGATATTTGTATTTGCCCTCAATTTCTTGACACGACGAAATTACTACCTCTAAATTAACAAGAAATGGATGTAGAATTTTACAGCAATGGAAGGTAGTAAAGAAAGAAAAGCCAATTCAGTACTTATTAAGTTAAGTTTATTTTATTTTTTTGGTGTTTTCGTTATGTAGGCATGGAGCAATGGCAAAATACGATCTTGTTTTCACAGGGTGATGATGGCAAAGAAAGCAAGATTATCAATTGGTCTATTTTCCTTCCATAAGGGAATAGTTGAAGTACCAGAAGAGTTAGCTGGGGATGATTCGTTACAATTTAGGTCATTTGATCACTTTGGGTTGCTGAAGTTTCGTTACAAAAATGAATCTTTATCTTCTGAAGAAAGAGTTAAAGCCTTCTGTGGTGTTAAGAAAGATGATTAATGAATGTTTTATTGAGCGAGAAGAAACAAATTTTTCTAATGAATAAGTGAATACAGGAAAAATATACAATGAATGTTGTGGTTTTAATATAAATTATCCTCTAACCTTAGATGGTTAGTATAAATAAATGAAATGTAATTTCATTTACATCATTCGTTCTCACTTTTTCTTGTGAAATTTTTAATGCGTATATATCATTATTCTGTTTTAATTTAGTGTTATATTGAGGTTTTGTCTATTTCATTGTAACAAAAAAGAAAAAAAAATACCAAAAGTAAATTTTTAGTTTCTTTTATTATGGTGATAGCGTCAACATGCAAATTGTCTTTATTAATTTCTGAATAATTGCATCTTTTTTTTTGGGCGGGGGGGGTTTAAATGGCCAGGGATAAAGAAATGGCTAAATGGCCGGTGGAATTTTTTTTTGCTTTGTCCTCATAATAATATAAGATTAGCATGTATGTGCTCATAATGTCGATTCACTAGTCCAAAACATCTTGATCTCAAGAATCATTAGAGTAAAAGGAATGCACTACAGAAGTCGATGAACGTGAGACAATTTCTCCCACTTTCATCTAAATAATTCATTTTTCTGGGTTAATATAAATAATAAACCAAATTAGTAAAAGAAGAAGGTAAGCAGTGATGCATACATTAAAAGGATCTACTAAAAAAAATGTCAAATGGCTAAAAGATGTCATTTCTTATTTATTTCGACCTATAACACTAACAAACTGATTAAAGTCCCACCCAAACAAAAACAAGTCCACTCCTTAGTATATTTATTTATAAACGGACATGTGTGATGGATTTTTCAATTGACAATGCTTGTTTAAATTTGTTAAATATGGCTATACAATTTGATCGGTAGGAAAATAATCCGTTCTTTGTCCCTGTCGAAGAGATTTAGGAATTCGCTGACAGCCGATAGACTTTATTCATTTTTATATTTTACTTCTTGCAACTTGATTTTACTTCAAACAACGTGATAAAAATATTTTAGTTTATTTCACAAGCCGCACGAAGTAAAATTAATCTTCATTTAGCAAGACAATTGTCTCATTTTATTTATAATTGTTTGTAGTAATGAGACCGATGGAGTGATGGAGTATATAATAAATAACACTTGAATCACAAGCTAACCTTAGGATTAGACAATTAGGCATTAGCTAAGCATATGGATACTACTAAGGAACTCCCTGTCATTAGTTTCACCGGAGAAAACCTAAAGCCCGGCACGAAAAGCTGGAGATCAACATGCAAAGCCGTGAGGGAAGCCATGGAAGAGTTCAGCTCTTTCATCGCCGTTTACGACAACGACGGTAAACTAGGTGGTCCCGGTCCGGAGCTCATGAGATCGGTCTTCTCTTCGATGGAGGAGTTTTTTGATCTCCCTAAGGAGACCAAATTAATCAACACGTCTCAGATGCCGGGGTTTGGTTATTTCGGAGAAATTTCGGAAAATCTACTTGAAACCGCCGGAATCGGAGACTCAACAAACGTTGAAGCAGTTCGACGGTTTTCGGATCTCATGTGGCCCTCCGGCAACGATAAATTTTGGTAAAGTCTTCTTCCCCTTTATTGTTGTTACAAATTTCATTTGTAGAACCAGTCAGAGTCTTGAGCCTTTTGAGGCTTAATTTTTATGATTTTTTTTTTTTTTTGGGTTAAGGGAGGAAATTTTGGAGCAATTCGTTCTTAGCTATATATTCCTTCAATCTACTTGAAATTTGGTGTTAATATTCACTACATCATTTCTGACTACAAAAAGAAATTACATAAAAACAAGAAAATACAACAAGCTTTATTATTATTATTTTTTAATTTGTATCTTTTGTTTTTTACATTTATGATCTTCACAAACTGGTGTGAGGCAGAGATACCAGCGCAAGTGTGCTAATTTAAATTACTTTGCTCTCGGTGGCTTTAAAATAGTTCCTTAAAATAACAAAGATTCGTCTTTTTCTTTTCTTTTTTTCTTTTTTTCTTTTTTTCTTTTTTTTTTTTTTTTTTGAAGAAGCAAAGATTCATTATGGCACACAGAAAATTAATACTTTGGTGTCTTCTATTCTTATCTCTGCTCACTTACCCGACATAATATGATCAAATGGGTAATTTTAAATTACATTTGATGACAACTGCGGTTTTGGACGCATTACATATCTATAAAACTATGTGGAAATTAATGGGGAGTACATTATTCTACCCAAGTGATACATTTGTTTTTTTTTTTTTTTTTTGAAATAAAGGTTTAATTAAGCAAACTTCAAATTCCGCTACATTAGTATATTGGATTAAACTCTCATATGATAGTGGAACCATGCCCTAATAAGTAGATTGGTTCTATGAATGGAACTAGACCCTAATCATCACACTAAGTGACTCACATTTCGTAAAATAGGAAATTCCATTAATTACGAATGTCATTTTATCAATTGTCTTATCTTATACTTATTCTTATCGAAACTATCGAAAGTACTTGATTACGATTTTGTTCACTTTTTACCCTTAATCAAGTTCGTTTATCTTTTCCTAATTCATTAGTGAAACAATGAACGGGTACGCAGCACAAGTTTCAAAGTATGGAGAAATAGTAACAAGAATGGTGTTTGAGAGCTACGGTGTTGAAAAATATTGTGATTCTCATGTTGATTCATCGTCGTATCTCCTCAGAATCAACACTTACAGGGTACCCAAATTAAAGGAAACAAATGTGGGGGTTCATGCCCATACTGACGCAACTTTTATCTCTATTCTTAAACAAGATGAAGCAAGAGGGTTGGAGGTGCAATATTCAAAAGATGGTGCTTGGATTCCTGTTGATTTCCCACCATCTTCTTTCGCTATTATTGCAGGGGACGCCTTACTAGTGAGTCCGATCCTTTTATCGGTCATTTCCTTCTAATTATTACTCTCCCGTGCCAAATTATTGTCCAGTTTAGATTTTAAATTTAGTATAAATTAAATTAAAATGGAAAAACTAAACTGAACAATAATTTTGGGACAGAGTAAGTATGTTATTACTTGTATCAGAACAGTATAGTAAGCATATTGTTTTTTTTAATACCTGAGTTGACTTTTTTTTCCTTTGTTTGGTGGATGTAGGCATGGAGTAATGGCAAAATACAACCTTGTTTTCACAGGGTTACAATAGCAGATAAACCAAGATTGTCAATTGGGTTATTTTGTTTTCATAAGGGAATAGTTCAAGTACCAAAGGAGTTTGCTGTTGGTGATTTACTAAGATACAATTCATTTGATCACTTTGGGCTGTTAAAGTTTCGCGCCAAAAATAGAGCTCTATCACCACAAGAAAGAGTTAAAGCATATTGTGGCGTTCATAAAGGATAGTAGTTAAGGATGAAAGACGACAGTTCCTAATGTCGCAACTTGATTATCTATCATAAATAGTTTAAGTTTGTATGGAGAGAGCGAGCTTCTAGCGTTGTACAAACACACACTTTATCTCATATTTGTGCTGTACCTTTCTCACTTTGAATTTTTTCTCTTTTTTGGGGTGTAAATTCAATGTATCAGCAATGTAAAAACATACTCCCTTCGTCCTAAAATTATTGTCTAGTTTGAGATTTCACTTTTGGTTCATTAAGTGAAATCTCAAACTGAACAATATTGAACTAAAAGTGAAATCTCAAACTGGACAATAATTTTGGGACGGAGGGAGTAGAATTTATAAGAATGATTCTCGACTATGCAAATGAATTCAGAAATCTTTGGGATACACTTCTTTGGGTTATAAATCATATAACTATGAAGCTGTGACAAAAGGTAGTGGCTCATCAAATTTAAAATATTTTCTCCCGTACCATAAAGATGTTATATTTTTAAATTATCTTAGCCTAATTAAGTGAATCATTCTCTTTGGCCTAAAAAAATTCCACATCGAGGTTTGGAATTGGTAATGTTAATTGTGGTCATTACTCTTGGTCAAACCTGATCGACTAGACTGTCCATGTTCACATTTGGTCAGCCACTAATTGTTTTGCCAAACCACCGACCGAGTTTTGAGTGCACTTTCAGAAGTGATCAAGAAAAAGTCATTGGACGGTGGACTTCATGGTTCTAAATGTTCGAGTTTCCATGAAGAAATGATAAGAAATAATCCTCCGTAATCTTCAAACAAACCACCTTAACAATTCAGTCAACTAAAGAAATGCCCATTTGGAACGTACAACTTTCAGGCTTCTCAGCTTTCAATGAGAATTATAAGCACTTGTTAGTTTACATTCTTTTGTGATGGATGCATTTCTTTTCAGGGAGAGATAATGTGATATGATCAGTTGTTATTTTGTATTTTGGTTGAAGAACAGTAAGAGCCAAAAAGAATCAGGAGTGCTTTTCACTTTTGTATCAGAAAAAAAAAATGGCACAAAATTGGAATGACAGAGCAAATTGAATAATGAACTTATTCAAGAGTTCATAATTGAAGTGTCTCAATCTTCCAGGTAGGTTTTCTTAATTTCAGTAAAATATAAGAACTCACTCCTTTGTGGGAGAAAATCTTGATTTATTCTTATTTGCATTTCAGTTAGATTAGTGTCCATAGGTGAACATCATTGCAATCAGGGGAGGATATTATGAATCATTATCCGAATTTGATGATGAGCTGGGAAAGGCTAGAAATCCTCATTAGAAGTTTCAGGGCTTTGATCAGGCCTCTGTTAAATTGGAGTGATCAATACCAAGACGGATTGAAAGAAGGGCTACAGGATGTTGACGATTTGCTTCAGATGTTCCTTCTTCAGGAACTTGATCAGCAAAAAAGGGCGTCTTCCAATTTCGCAACCATAACAAAAGAGATGGAGCAGGTTCTTCTTCAGTGTCAACTGACGCATTCGAGCCATTGTAGTATGAGAACATGGAAGGGAGTTGAGCATACAGTGAGTTTCATGGATTCTGTTTTACAGAATTTCCGGGATGAGGTAAAGAAAGATGTCGATGATGCATTTATTTCTCCTGCAAAGAAAGGTATATTAGATATCTGTGATGAGCTTAAGTTGATGAATGATATGTTTTGGCTGATAAACTTGATCCCCGGAACCATGTATCTCATCACATGTTTAGATGTGGCATTTATTATTGAGAAGATAGGGGTGGAAATCTCATGTTTGCTTTACAACTGGATCATGGACAACATGGATGATGCAGAGCTGCTTGGTTATTTGAAAGAAGATTTCTATAGCCTCCAGGAAAAGGTAAAGAGTGTTTATGAAACTATATATTGGATTCGGTTGTCTGAAAAAGATTTTATGATTTCAATCTGGATGAGCGCGTTATTGGCTTCTTCGATTTTCTGATTGAAGAAGTGAGCAAGTTAATGTCGTCACATAATGAAGCCACTGTGCCTAGTAGTTTTGTTCAGGTGTTAATCCACTTGAGATGCAGTCTCTTGGATGTAATTGTGCTATATCTGCAGAGCAAAGAAGGAAAAGGTTCAGTAATGCTGTCAGAAAGAATGAATTCACTTTGCAATTCCGTGCGAAATTTCATTTTGGATACTGGATTTCTCATTTACTTTTCTCGACTTGATCACAAAGGTAGGAGGGGAAATCACAGAGCCGAGCAAGGATCTAGTTATGCCTCCCAAACTAACAAAGAGGAGGGGGATGAGAAAGAGAGAACCAAGTACAGGTGGTTTCAACTGCCTTGTTTCCTTCATGATGTTACCTCTCTGAAGCAACAGGCAAATGACTTGGTTAGTGTTTGTAATCAGGTCTTTTCTTCTTCCAGGATAACGTATAGCAGCAGGAACCCGATGGTATCAGCAAGTTTCAAGGATAAATCAAAAGACATGAAGATGGAGGAATCTCATGATAAACTGGTTGGTATGAGAGATACCACCATGGAGGTCATTCATCTACTTACTAGCATTAAAGCAACTCGGTTAACAAGTCTCTCGATTGTGGGCATGCCAGGACTTGGTAAGACGACCCTTGCTAGTTCAGTGTACAAGCATCCCTCAATAGTTACTCACTTTCATGTCCGCGCTTGGTGTCGTGCATCTCAGTTCAATATCAAAGAAGCCTTGCTGTCAGAGATATGGTGCCATATTGGGGGAAAAGCCAATGAAACTCATGAGATGGTAAGAGAAGATATTGCTCTTAAAGTTTATCAAACTTTGAAGGGCATGAAGTACCTTATAGTTATAGATGATATATGGGATGCTGAGTTATGGAATGATTTGAAGGAATCTTTTCCTGATGACCACAATGGGAGTAGGATTTTATTCACCACTCAACGTCGTGCTGTTGCCTTGGAAATTAATAGTATTCCTTACGCTCTTCGCCTTCTTTCTGATGAGAAGAGCTCTAAACTATTGCTGCTGCACGTGTTTGATGGCGGAAACTGCCCTGCTGAGCTATCAATGATCTCAAAACGCATTGCGAGGAATTGCAAAGGGCTACCCCTTGCTGTGGTTTTGACTGCTGGAATCCTGAAAAAGACCGAAAGCAGAAAAGTCTGCTGGGAACAAGTTGCTAAAAAAGTCTTTAGTTTGCGCAGAGAACGAGAAAAATACTGTGAACTAAAGGATGTCACTAATATAGTGGCATTCAGCTATAAGCAGTTGCCTGATTTCTTGAAGCCGTGCTTTTATTATTTTGGAGCATTCCCTGTGGACACTTCAATTTCCGTATCAAAGTTAACAAAATTATGGATATCTGAAGGTTTTGTGCAGAAACAGGATCTTGGGCAGAAGCATTTAAAACAAAAGGCTGAGGATTTCTTACAGGAGCTAATAGACCGAAGTCTTGTAATGATTGCCAAAAGGAGTTCCAAAGGTGGGGTCAAAGCGTGCCGTGTTCATACTGTGATACGACAGTTTTGCTCTGAGATGCTGCGTTCAAAAGTGCACGTTTTAGAAGAAAACGCCTTGGACGCATATTCTTCTTTCCATCATAATCTCAATGTTCGTAGCACCACCTATTTATTTCACTATAGATCATATCCAGCTACCAAATTTGGTCGTTTCCAATTCCAAGATGTTTCCGATGGTTCAAATTTTAGGCCTCGACTAGGACATACTGAAAAGATAGTGTTCGGAAATGAACCTGGTGTTGTCAGAGGGGTAATCTCAGAAGGCGGGTTGCTGATGTGCACCCGAACTAATCAAAGCAAACGCTTCGATTATGGCTTGATTTCCAAGTTCCTGTCCCTTCAAGTGTTGGACCTGGGAAATGTTAGAGTTGAAAGCAGTGCAGACACTTCAGATCTTGTCACGATAGCGAAGCTGATTCATTTGAGATATTTATCCATCAGGCTCAGGAGAAACAAACTGCCTCCGGAAATAGGTAACCTTCAAAACTTGGAAACTTTAGTTCTAAGTGGAGTAATTGGTATTATCCTGTTACCATGGTCGACTAAGAATTTATCAAGTTTGAGGCATTTGCTATCGGATCACGGGATCTTCATATTTCCTCAGTCTTTCATTGAATTACAATCCTTTGACATCCATTTTCCCCTGCTGGATAACCTGACATCCATTTCCACCCTTCCCCTGAAACGTGGAAACAAAGTTGAGAACTTCGTCTTGAGGAGGCTTCCTGGCATTCAGAAATTGGGTTGCAGATTTTTCTCCGATGCGTGGGATAATTCTACAGGTTTTAGTATGTTTCCAGAGCTAGACTTCTTGAATGAACTTGAATCACTCAATATCACCTTCTCAGGGAAAGTTGTGAGTCCCTGTAGATTCAGTTTCCCATCAAACCTCACGAAGTTGTCCATTTCAAACTCTCGCCTGCCGTGGGAGGAAATTTCAGTCATTGCTCGATTAGTACCGCATCTTCAGGTTTTAAAATTGCTCGGTAAAGCATTTGAAGGGCTGAAATGGGAAATGGTAGACGGAGGTGAATTCCCAAAGCTGAAATTCTTGAGGCTAGAATCCCTGGATATCGAGGTATGGGACGCCAATGCTCCTGATCATCTGCCTTTTCTTGAGCAACTTGTGGTGTTGCATTGCCCACAATTAAAGGAGATCCCTTCTTCTTTTGGTGATATTGCCACTCTGAAGTCGATTGAGCTCGACGGGTGCAGCTCTTCTGCCATGGACTCTGTCAATGAAATCCTGGAATACCAGCGTGATATGTGCAATGATGAGCTCTCTGTCACACTTGGCAGTCCAGCATGATGTCGCCCTTGATTAAGAAATGTGAAAACCGAAATTATTGAGAACGTTAGAATAACTGTAAAAGTATTCAGTTGATTAGCAAAGTGTAGAAGCTAGTTTACTTATTCGCAAATTAAATTCTTACATACATCTGGTTGGATTATAAATGTTTTTTTGCAGCTTGTTCAAGTACAGCTTGGTCTGTTATAACCCTACGGAACGAGTACTATTTGACAATTAATTGTCTAATTAAGAGTATTTAGTTTGCAACTTCCAGTTTGGTCCAGAATGGAGCCGTGTTGTTGTCATCATTCTAATTGCTTGCACTTATATGATTAAAAGAGATTAATCATTTTTGAAGGTCTTCTAGATTTCCACGGGAATAAAAAGAATGATTAAAGAACACTCCTGCAAACAGGCAGAAAACCAGATGCTGGAATTTGAACTTGTAGTAGTTCCTGATCAAATCTAGATGGAAATCAACAAGGACAACCGTGGATTGGCAAGATTCAATGAAGCCCTCAAGTGTCTACCATAGATGGTCAGGAGGAAAAAGAAGAAGAAAAGGGAGTCCAGAAACAAAGAAATCTTTTTTTCTTTCTCTTTTTTTTTTGGTAAAGAACAAAGAAATTTTGTGTAAGCCTTAAGGACATCAGTTCTACATCATGCTACCTGGATAATCGAATCTATGTCAGGCACTCCAAACAACCTAACTTGCATAAACTTCTCTTCACCGATCCTGAGTTTCTTACAAAATTCATAGTTATTGCAAAGAAAGACAAAAGAATTACACTGCTGATGTTGCGGCCTGGCCTGAATACATTTTTTGTAGCAAAGATCCAATGCAAAATTACGAAGCACGTCATCGAGATCGACATCTTATGCTCCTATGCACTGCCTTTTCAGCTCTACGTCATCTCTCTCACCATTTGTCTCCTCTTCTGCGTCATGATGATCACTTTCTGACTCAGCATCCCCACATCTTTTCCTTTGAGGAACCACCTGGAAAAAAGAAGCCTTCCAATCCCTTGTTTCTAAGTATTTGAGTAGTATCTCCAACACTTGATTTACAGTTAATACCTGCATTCAATTGCAGGTAGATTCACTCGTGTGTTACCTAAAATTGAAATGTTATTCTAAGTTCAAAAAGGAAGAGTAATTTATCAGTAACTTCCGTTGCATGAAGTGCTACTATGAACTATTTCAAGATCCAAAAATGTTTTAATAGGAAAAAGTAGTGTAAACTCATCCCAAAACATAGATGAATATAACAAATTAGAAATTTATTTGTCATAAACAAGGATGCAGTTCAAATGCTACCTGGGAACTAGACATCTTGAGGTAGCTTCCAATAGGAAGTTTTGCCGTCTGGATGCCCTGATTTTTTGCCTTATCTAAGGTTATCCCTTTCCACCGATTCCGATCCACCAATCCACCGATGATGTATATTTTTTTAGGATCAAGTTCTTCTAGGGTCGTTTCTGAGTCTGCCGTGAGGTATACCAGGTTTTCCTTTTGATCTTCAAAGGCTTGTATATATGATCGATTTTCCTTGTCTATTACCCACTTCTCATAACCCGGGAGCCTTTGCAAATGGTTATGCATCTCCCCCTCGCAGCCCGTCAAGAAAAGATGGGCGGGATATTCGCATCTTCCATTTACAGCATAACAATACATTATCTGTAGAATAGGCAAAACATGTTACAAGAATTTTAAGCTGAACCTGGCTTGATTGAAAGAAAACTCCAATCTCAAGTTTTACACTTGTATATGGACATAAACAATAGATACAATGTAAACAGTTAACAGTTTCCGGAAAAACATATGAAGACATATTGCATTCACAGAAAATGTACAACAGAGGTTTTTGGCCATAAACAATGGATACTACATAAACAGCTTCTTGGAAAAGATAGCTACATAGAAGCAATTATCACAGAAAATGTGCCACATTTATAAAATCCATTTTATTTGAAACATATGCAAAAGCAATGTGTAAACTTTTTCAGAAAAAGAGGGGGAAAAAAACAATGCTTTTATGAACATTAATACATAATAACCACTCAATTAAACTATCAAATCTCAAGAAAACAGGAGCTAAGTATTTCCATCTGTTCGTGCTAAACATTATAGCTACTTTCTTGATTAAAACAAAAAGGAAAAAAGAAGTGAGATCAGAAATGGAGAAGGAAGATAGGATAAATGATATTGTTACTGAAAAGACAATTTTTGGTCTCATATTTACAATACATCCAAGATACAACAGAATCACAGGATCAGAACTAAGGGAGCAAAAGGATTAGAAAAGCATAGAAAATTGAATTGTCTATACCTTCCGGATAGTTAAACAGCTAAATTACATGATTCCAAGCTCAAGATGACCTCTTGTTTTATATTACTCGGGCTGAAATAGATATGATAGAAATTAAGAAGTACACACTATCTTCGAGAGGAACAAGTTGCAATGATCAAACAAAAAGCGGCAATTACCCTCTGTTAGTTCCCGCCAAAAAAAGATACAATCATCAGATTCCCATCTCACCGGTAAAACAAAAAGAGTCTGTTTTCTTTCTTTCGCTTTTAAACTGAAGCTCATCTATATCTCAAATTCCCGCCTCAGCATTAAGACAAAAACATGGAAAACTTTTCCCTCAGGATAAAAAAATTCCAAGACCCTATCTTTCTAGACTTCTACAACTACCATTCCATCATTTGATCATACTACCAATTCCGTCCCACTATCAACACAAAAGATATTACCTGTACTCGTACCTTACCCATTCATTCTGAATACAACTAGTAGGGAAACAACAAGATCCTTACTCGGAAAATAACACATACAAAAAAGTGATATTGTCATTTCGCTAGCAGCACAACAGACACAAAATTGGGACTTATATCATGTATGCTAATCTCGTGCAAGCAATATTGACATCCCAACAGCAAAATTTCCAATCCTTTACCGTGAACAGACAACATCGCCTAAACTACTCATACTGGCATTTCCTTCTGATCCTAAAATCATCACTCTAGATAGGTTACTTATACCAAACATTATCAAATTCAAGACATTGAAAAATTCAATCATTCACCTGTTGAACGAGGCTGTTGAGCTGAGAAGTATTCATGAGATGGGCAAACTCGAGATCAATTACAATCTTCTGACCGCCATCCAACCTGGCTTTCTTCAACCTCTCCAATTTGCTCTCTTTCTCCTGGCACCTCTGCTCCATTCTCTCTTTTCTGAGTTCTTTCCTTGACTCAATCAGCTTCTGCCTCTCCTCTTCCGTGGCCGCCATTCCAAGCTTCTCTTCCCACTCCCTTTGCTTCCTCTCCTTTTCTCTCTTCTTCGCTTCCTTCTCCATGGCTTTCTTCTCCGCTTTCTTCGCTTCGTATCTTTGCTGCTTCAATAGCTTCTTTTTGGCATTCTTCGACATGGGTTTTTCTTCCTCATCGGTGAATGTGGGTTTTACGCCACAAGGGTCAACGGTGGCCGTGGTGGTGGTTTCACCGGATTCAGGCGCGGACTCCATTGGCGGTGGTGGCGGAGAGTTTAGTGTGAGCGTCAGTGTGGTGGCGGAGAATTAAGTTTTAAGTAAAATTTCTCCTTTGTTTTTTTGTTTTTTTTTTTTTGTCGAGAATTAGTTTAGCACTATATACGATTGATCACTAAATAAATTTTTGTGAAAAGATAAATTGTCAATCACTTCGGCTCCATTTGGACAAGAGTTTTAAAAAGACTTTTAAGGCTAAAAAGTCTGTTTAGAATTTAAAATGCGGTTGGACAAAATAATTAAGGTCTTTTCTAAACATCATTTTGAAAAAAAGAAGGCTTGAAACAGACTTTTTAAAAAATAGATAAGGGGTATTTTTCAAATTTTTGAAATAGTCTCTTTCACCTCTGTTCACGAGTCTAAAATCAGGTCGAGGCGGGTTATGAAAAAATCGGGTCACGAATATAAAGAAAAAGACGTGCCCTTCTCACTTCTTCCATACTCTAGATCCGCCGCCCCTTTCTCACTCTCTCTCCTTTAGCCGTGCGGCACCGGCGATCCACCACCCACCCACCGTCCCTTCGGTTTTTTCTTTCATGGGCTGATCGCTGCGGTTTTGGCCTCCGACTCACCTAATCCTCTGTTTCAGAAAACCATAGTTGCTGTTGCTCAGAATATTCTAAAGAATACTGCTTCGTTCAAAACATCCTGGAAGATGCTGCACTGGCGGCGGCTGAAATCGAGCCCGAGGAAGTGCATGAACGCAGATTTGTAGATTTTGTTGGTGGGGTTTTGAAGAGGTTGCTACGGAACAAACTAGCATTTATGAATTCAAACTCAAATGTGAGAAGATTTACGAGGATGATTCCATTGCTTCTTGGGTTTGAGATGCTGTAATGCTTCGTGTCCAACGTGTTTGTCTTAATGCCTCAATGAAAGATTCTGGTAAGGTCATTAACGCATTCAGATTATCAACTGAGCTTTTGTTTGCACAGACGGGCTCTTTTTGTCCTGCCTATTATAAAGGTTCTCTTTTGTTTGCATGAATCTAATTCTTGTTCTGGATTTTAATTGGTGTCCGGAGGTCTGTCGACAGTTGAATTTAGCATCTTACGGAAATTTTGGATCTATATTTGGAAGTTTTTAGCCAAAATAATTATATTTGGCAAAGATCAGATTTTATTTGTGATTGTGCCTGGGAAAATTAATATGCTCAACTGTAAGGTCTTAAAGCCTATCAGCTGCTTAATTTGAAGAATTAATATACACCTTCATGATGCAGGGGATTTTATTCTGCGTGAGAGTATGTTTGAGTTAATCTCACTTTTTTTCGCTCTCTCTAATATCCAAACATTTGAACTGTGACTTGACGTATGTATTTTAACTATAGTGAGATACCGGAGCAGTTCCATTTATAGCTTGGTTGCAGTTCCGATAGTTTGGACTATATATTTTTGGATTTGATTCTCTTTTCTGGGACTGGGACTTCGTTGGATCAAACCCATTGTTTGATTGTGTTCTGTTGTCTCATTAGGAAGTCTCCTCGTGTGTTTTTTCTCTTCCTGCAATCAGTCCCTTTGGAATGCTTATGTTAATTTTTCAAACAATTTGTTCTTCGAATATGGTCAAAAAATTTTGAGCTAACTACTAAAGTTTGAACATAAACAAATTCGTAAATTTGGATCTTTTACAGCATTGCATCTTTTATTTATGTATTGGATATGTATGGTGTTTAATTCAAGGCTCTGCACGGCTTTTTTATTGCTAAAGATGCTAGAAAAACCAAGTAGTTGACAATATATGGGATTAAATTCTTCATTAATACTTTTAAATAATTCACTGGCCTGTGTAGTGATGTTCTTTGATTGAACAACACTAATCCACCGCCAATAAGGTAAGCCTTTGGTTAATAATTTGGGGTCCCCAGTTTCATGCACCTGAGTAATAAAAAATATGTGATTGCAGAGATCCTAAACTTCATGATGGTGAAGCAACGGCCCTTCGAATTAGAGCTACTAAGATCCTTGAACTTTTGCTCTTCCTGTGTTGTTACACGTGCTGTGTATCTTCCTCTTCATGCAGAATTTTGTGTTAGATGGTAGATTGAAGGTTGGAGCTGTCATAATGCTTCAATTTGGCTTGATTGATTGAGCTTCTTTTAGGTTATTAGTTAGTACCATGTACCAGTTTCTAGCCACCATGTAATTATTCGCTTGTCGTGAATTTGGATAATTCCATTGTCGTGAATTTGCTTGAAAGACTTTATCTATTGTTGGTTACACATTGTCTAAAAATTTGTCGTCTCTGTTGTGCCTGTTAGAGCAGTATCCTGTAGGGCTTTTTTTTTATGGTTATGATTCTAAGCAAGTTTTCTTGTCCGTGGAGTTCATTTTCGAAGTTCTTGTTCTATCCGCTTTTACCCTTGTATAATGTTGCTTGTTTTGGTTAGGAATTTTTAAATTATGCATAATTTGTATACTGTAATGTTGCTTATTTTAATCGGAAATGTCAAAAGTTTAATTTAGCTAATTTAGCTACTGGGAAAATTTGTTGTGACTTCAAATTTATTACTTGCTTCTGCTAGCCTTGACATGCTTCTACCCGTAAATAATGTTGTTGTCTTAATTGGGAATTTCGATAATGTAGTAGAAGTTAGTATTAGCTAATTTGGCGGCTGGGGAATTCCATGGGTACTTCTAAATAATCATGTGCTTCAGCTTCAGTATGCATGAATCGGAATCTCATTTACTTTGTCCTCTGACATATGTATTGTCTGCATTTGCCTAGTGATTTGCAGTAACAATGGCTGTTCCTCTACTTACCAAGAAGATTGTAAAGAAGCATGTCAAGAAGTTCAAGAGGCCCCGAAGTGACAGGAAGATTTCAGTGAAGGTACTTTGCAGCTCTTTAACTAGTGTGTTCAAGGAACCATCACTTATTGGTGCTTAGAGCTTTTTTATGTTATCTACTGTATTTATATCTTTGTGTAATTTTTTGTTACTATAGGAAAATGTAAGTCTTGTGTTAGGATGATCCAAGTTTAGGTCGCTGTTGTAGAAGATCTCTAAGATAGATTCTTTATACTCTTTTATTTTATTTTACATGCCTTTCCCTGGTAAATTGTAATGGTTCTTCTACAGTTGTTACAGTTGTTAGTTTTAACTTTCATCCTTATTGCTTCCATCATTTTTGAGTTTTACTTTTGTAGCATGCTTACTATTTTTCCAAATCTTAGATGGCTGTAGGATATTAAATATTTAGTGCTATATATATTACAACTTGATCATTGTACCATCCTGCATCATCAAGATTTTATGGTTTATGCCTTACTAGATTGGTTGACCTCCCAAAACTGATCTGTTTAAAGCCAAACACTATTGACTTGTGCAGTCTTCGTTTCTTATTTTTGGTACAATATTGTGCCTCTGCTATGCGTTCACTTACATGTTTTTCCTCATATGTTTGATTTAAACTCTTGCCCAGGAAAGCTGGCGCAGGCCGAAGGGTATCGACTCCTTTGTTAGGAGAAAGTTCAAAGGATGCATGCTGATGCCCGATATTGGTTATGGTTCAGACAAGAAAACCCGACACTATCTGCCCAACAGATTTAAGAAGTTCGTTGTGCATAATGTCCAAGACCTGGAACTCCTTATGATGCACAACAGGTTCATTTAGTTCTTTTGACTTTTTCAGTTTTGCATTTCTTCATCTGGTTAATAGCAAAATTGTATTGTGTTGATACAATGTTCATGTCCTTGTGATCTTTTTTTTTTCTTGATGTGATGAGTTTTCCTTATCCTTATACTTAATATAAAGGCACAGTAGGCAAGAAATTAAATGCCCAAGAAATATTCAGGGCCACCTTCAAAGCGATCTCGTCCGTCGGATGGGTTCAATCCGACGGTCAATATTACATCATTAATTAGGGGCAAAAACGAAATTCCATTAATTCAGAGGATAAGCAACCGTAAGTTTTTGAGGATAATAAGTAAAAATAAAAACCCCCAATACACAAACGTAATTTCTTGAGGGTAAAAAATAAAAACCCCCATGAAGAAAACGAAGTCGTCCCTTTCATCTGCCTAATTCTTCCCCAGAAAACCCCCCACCAAATAAACGACGTCGTGTCTTCATCTTCACCAGCCTAAACAAAACTCCTCTCTCTCCTTGTCGTTCTCAGAAATACATCTTCCCGACTTTCTCTCCGGCCACCCTCCGACGGAAATCAGCCCATCGCCTCACTCCCACCGTCACCACAACACCGCCGGTGGCGTTTCCACCAACACCATGGCCTCGGGCCGTGGATTTATTCTGGCCCAACAAGAAACAATTTTCGATTTTCTTCTTCAAATAGGATTAGGAAATCACTATAAAAAAAATTCTCAATTCTAAATCGTCCCATGATTTCAGAATCCCAATCGGATTATAACTTCAAAGTCCACAACCGGTCTATAAAAACCCCAGCAATCCCCACAAATAGAACCACTCCAAGCTCTCTCTACAGCTTTCCAACTCCCGGCTCGTAACAGGTAAATTTCTCCTTCTTTGCCACTATTTTTAGATGAATATTTTTGCAACTCCCGGCAACTATGTGTAGCATCAAGTAACTAGCGTAGGTTCAATTATTTTTCATCCTGCATCACTATGTTTTCCCTTCAGACTTTAACAAATTTAGGATTATCGTTGGTCTGAATTGTGCGTGTTCATGATTGAGTGTTCTGACCTACTATGAGTTTGAAGTTGTTGATCGATTTTCTATGCGTTTAATTTTGCTCCAACTTAATTTCGATTCCATGCTCTTATTTGAAATTTCACTTTAAATTTGAGTGTTGATCAGCCTTATTTTTCCCCATTGGAATTCTTAAAGTTTATAGCTTGATCACTGTTATTATCATGAGATGTTGCGTGTTCCAGCTGTTATTTTTGGACGAATATTTTTTAAACTCCCAGCAACTATTCACTGAACCTGTGTAGTATCAAGTTGATGAGAATCATGTAGCCTTCCATGGAGGTTCTCCTAGTGAGGGGAATGAGCTAGTCCTTCATTCTAGTTTTGGAATGCCAAGTTTACTTTGCAGGCCAATCAAGGAAGAAAGGATGGATCTTGACTACCTATGTAATAGGGAGTTGGTTCAAGAG